GGCGTCAAAATAGAAGAAGTCCAAGGGAAGAACCAGAACAAGCAAAAGGTCGGCAGGAAACGGCAAGCAGATAGGAGAAGAGGGGGGAGAAAAACGAAACAGAAGGAAAAGGAAAAGGTGCTCAGCACAATTGGAGAGGACGGCAGCAGGAGCACAAGGTTAGAAAAGGACAGGACTGTCCCAAGGAGCATCACACTCCGGTAGCCGCCCGCTAAGCCCACTAAGAATTAATAATCAATTTCACTTTGTTCCGATTTTTTTTTTTTTTTTTTTTTTTTTTTTTTTTTTTTTTTTTTTTTTTACACATACATGTGACGTCATGTTATTCTGTTTCTTTTCAAAAATTACTCCATAGTATTTCCATTGTTATTAATGTAAGTGAACAACTGTACTATTGCTGGAGCCACTGACTTCAATAATCTCTCCCCTGTCATATTTAAGCGTCACATTTTTTACTGAATTTTTAATTTTTTCTTTAATATAACAATTTGGTTTACAAGGTACAATGGGTGTGAGAGATTACACAAGACAGGTATTTGTACAGTCTGACAAGGCCACGTAACTCGCCTAGCGTCTCAGGCAGAAATGCAATGTTATTGAATTTTCTCATTTTTGTTAGCTTACTCCTCTAAGTGTTAAGTCTCCCAACACGCTCCTTCACGCTTAAAGTAATCTGGAAATAAAAATGTATTTACGTTTTGCCCGAAACGCTATGCACGAGTGCTATTTTGTACACCTGTCTCCACAATTGTTCATTATTCCTATTCTGTCTACACATTCTGTTGAATAAAAACTAATTTGAATTTTTATTTAACCATTTTTTATTTTATTAAAAACCCTAGGCGATAGAATTAATAACTACTATTACTAATATATGTATATTAACATTTAAAAATTTAGTACTTTGCATCCAACACCATTTTAATATTTTAGACACTTATCCAAAAGTCCACTACGGGCTCACCATAGCCCGTGATACTTGAAACATTTTGTTCCAGGTAGCGAATCTTAAAAAACAACAACAATGTTCACCCTTTGCCACACCTCCCTCATTTTAATCTGTATATTTAAACAATCTCTATCACTACAAGCTGACGGTGACCCAGAACAAAATCCGTCACACATCAACAACCAGCACATTGATCATCACTACTATAATTATTATACAGCGACCCATGACAAAAAAAATAGCCCATCAGTACTCAACCAAAATGGCAGATCACTTCAAAAACATTGATATAAATGTTTTGAAAACATCTGGTACTAAACTACCGTTCATTATTTTAACAACAACGTTACTAAGTAGAGACCATAACCCAACCATACAACTCGGCCGGTTATGAAGCCATTCACAACTTGAGGCCTGATGAACAAAAGGGCGGTACAGCTACCTAATATTAAAACTTCAATAGTACAAGTGTCATTAGGGAGAAAGATGCTGTGAATATATCCTTGCTCAGTTTTATATAATATCCTTTAAATCCTCTAACTATTTGAACTGTTTAAAGATTCCCAATACAGCTGTATTCTCAGATAATCTAAAGGAATCTAAATCAAACTCCACAAAATCACATCTTAGGAGACGACTTCAACATTGACCTGTAAATAAAATAGACCCCCTACTATTCGACTACTTCCTGAACAGCATGAACTCTTGTATACTAAACCCCACACTCACCAATCCGACCAGAGTCACATCTGCTACAACCTTGCCCCACACACGGACTAACATAACAGCCCCTCACTTGCCTCTGGTATAATCACTGACAACAACCAACCACTATTCTACCTTCCTCATAACAAACACCAGCGGATACCAAAACAGCCTTCAGACTACACGACATTGGGGAACCTCAAATGCACTTCACAATATAAAAGCTGTGCAGACACTCCATGCCAGTAAAATGACCCAGTCTATGGAACACTCGACGGGTGGGGGGGGTGGAATTGCCCAACCTATGTTTTATTCAGAAGCCACAAAGTACCTAATTTATGATCTGTTTCCTAACTTGTGCTTCAAACCCACTCCCCCCCCCCCCAATATAAGTAATGAAGACAAGCAATATAATCAATATTATCACTTTATATTTTAGCCATTATGTTGAATTCAAATTTATTACAGTGCATCCAATAATAATTTTACCTTTACTATGGATTAGTGATATTCCCGAAACGCTATACACGTTAGTGGCTTTGTAAGAACACCAATGTTGTACTCACAACCCAATACACCTTGTAGTCATAAATATAATAAATACGGAGAGACTAGATGCAGATGATGAAGCACACCGAGGCTAAATGATAATCAGGACTTGTATACAATTGTTTATTAATGTCAATAATTAAGTTAAAATGTGGTAAAACATTGTACACCGACACTCGCACTACAGAGACTCACGCTTATATGACCAGAGATGCTCAGTTGAGAACCGTGACCTGTCTACCACAGCGGCTGTGTCATGGGTGTCGACCCGGGGGGGGGGCCTACTGGTGTCGACCCTGGGGAGGGGGGGGAGGGGGGGACCAGCGACTGGCTGCGTCATTAATCGATTTAGTGAGCAGACCTGAGCACTGCCAGAGTGTTGCGTCACTAGTGTTCGTCATGACAGTCAGGTAGACTCACGGTCAAGTAGCCCCCCCTCCCCCGGTCAAGTAGCCCGTCATCACACCAGTATGTCCGGGTACATGTTCAAGAGTTAACTGATAAGTATGTAGTGAGCGAGGGAAGTGCTCTTGTGTACACTCATCACAAGTGTACATCTTGACTCATCACAAGTGTACATCTTGACTCATCACAAGTGTACATCTTGACTCATCACAAGTGTACATCTTGACTCATCACAAGTGTACATCTTGACTCATCACAAGTGTACATCTTGACTCATCACAAGTGTACATCTTGACTCATCACAAGTGTACATCTTGACTCATCACAAGTGTACATCTTGACTCATCACAAGTGTACATCTTGACTCATCACAAGTGTACATCTTGACTCATCACAAGTGTACATCTTGACTCATCACAAGTGTACATCTTGACTCATCACAAGTGTACATCTTGACTCATCACAAGTGTACATCTTGACTCATCACAAGTGTACATCTTGACTCATCACAAGTGTACATCTTGACTCATCACAAGTGTACATCTTGACTCATCACAAGTGTACATCTTGACTCATCACAAGTGTACATCTTGACTCATCACGAGGAAACACTTACACAAACTGTCACCGAACACACAGACGGAGGCGGCCATGACAGTCCACACTCAATACAAGTCATTGTAGGAAATCATTAAAACATTAAAATTATATTTTTGGCGAGAAACTGTAAGTAGAGGTGTAAGAGTGATCATTGAGTGACGCGGAGACACATCACTGTGGCGTGTACACCTGACCTCTGGGGGGGGGGGGTCAAGGGTCACGGCCAGCTGCCTCTCACTCGCCTGCTCTTATTTTTATATACAGGTCAATTAAGGCAACACTAGCGCGGGAAAATTATCTGTATAAAACCACGGAAGATGATGCGCATTTTATCAAATGTAATTGTTGACCAGTTGACAGCGTCATAGTACTGCAGAGAGTTAAACAACGGAGCTCTTAAGAGTCTAAGGCAGAGTATTAAACCATTACTACTGAATGGGACGAGTGCTTCACAACACGCTGCCTCACCCAGCCACTGCTCCACCAACTACTCTACCTGTGTTGCACTGGACGAAGCCACCTCCGTTGTCAGTGCCTGGAGGGAGCCCTAACTAGTGACACACGCGTTACAACCTTGGCATATAACTATAACAAATGCTTGTATTTGTAACGGGACCGCCTAGTGGTGGGCCCAACCCCGATGGTGAGGGTATTGACGGGCGTGTGGGTGGACAGTGCCGGAGGTGGCATCATTGGTGGCCACTATGGCACTAGTGTTATGGAGCCCTGGTGACTGTACCAGTCAATACCACACAAGTGTTTGGGGCACACACTGAACACACCACCAATGGCGGGAATTTATAAATGAGCGGCACTAGTGGCAGACGCAACACCAGGGGTCACAAGGCACTAGTGGCAGACGCAACACCAGGGGTCACAAGGCACTAGTGGCAGACGCAACACCAGGGGTCACAAGGCACTAGTGGCAGACGCAACACCAGGGGTCACAAGGCACTAGTGGTAGACGCAACACCAGGGGTCACAAGGCACTAGTGGCAGACGCAACACCAGGGGTCACAAGGCACTAGTGGCAGACGCAACACCAGGGGGTCAGGCGGCACTAGTGGCAGACGCAACACCAGGGGGTCAGGCGGCACTAGTGGCAGACGCAACACCAGGGGTCACAAGGCACTAGTGGCAGACGCAACACCAGGGGGTCACAAGGCACTAGTGGCAGACGCAACACCAGGGGGTCAGGCGGCACTAGTGGCAGACGCAACACCAGGGGGTCACAAGGCACTAGTGGCAGACGCAACACCAGGGGGTCACAAGGCACTAGTGGCAGACGCAACACCAGGGGTCACAAGGCACTAGTGGCAGACGCAACACCAGCACAAGGCACTAGTGGCAGGCAACACCAGGGGTCACAAGGCACTAGTGGCAGACGCAACACCAGGGGTCACAAGGCACTAGTGGCAGACGCAACACCAGGGGGCACTCACAAGGCACTAGTGGCAGACGCAACACCAGGGGTCACAAGGCACTAGTGGCAGACGCAACACCAGGGGTCACAAGGCACTAGTGGCAGACGCAACACCAGGGGTCACAAGGCACTAGTGGCAGACGCAACACCAGGGGTCACAAGGCACTAGTGGCAGACGCAACACCAGGGGTCACAAGGCACTAGTGGCAGACGCAACACCAGGGGTCACAAGGCACTAGTGGCAGACGCAACACCAGGGGTCACAAGGCACTAGTGGCAGACGCAACACCAGGGGTCACAAGGCACTAGTGGCAGACGCAACACCAGGGGTCACAAGGCACTAGTGGCAGACGCAACACCAGGGGTCAACACCAGGGGTCACAAGGCACTAGTGGCAGACGCAACACCAGGGGTCACAAGGCACTAGTGGCAGACGCAACACCAGGGGTCACAAGGCACTAGTGGCAGACGCAACACCAGGGGTCACAAGGCACTAGTGGCAGACGCAACACCAGGGGTCACAAGGCACTAGTGGCAGACGCAACACCAGGGGTCACAAGGCACTAGTGGCAGACGCAACACCAGGGGTCACAAGGCACTAGTGGCAGACGCAACACCAGGGGTCACAAGGCACTAGTGGCAGACGCAACACCAGGGGTCACAAGGCACTAGTGGCAGACGCAACACCAGGGGTCACAAGGCACTAGTGGCAGACTCAACACCAGGGGTCACAAGGCACTAGTGGCAGACGCAACACCAGGGGTCACAAGGCACTAGTGGCAGACGCAACACCAGGGGTCACAAGGCACTAGTGGCAGACGCAACACCAGGGGTCACAAGGCACTAGTGGCAGACTCAACACCAGGGGTCACAAGGCACTAGTGGCAGACGCAACACCAGGGGTCACAAGGCACTAGTGGCAGACTCAACACCAGGGGTCACAAGGCACTAGTGGCAGACGCAACACCAGGGGTCACAAGGCACTAGTGGCAGACGCAACACCAGGGGTCACAAGGCACTAGTGGCAGACGCAACACCAGGGGTCACAAGGCACTAGTGGCAGACGCAACACCAGGGGTCACAAGGCACTAGTGGCAGACTCAACACCAGGGGTCACAAGGCACTAGTGGCAGACGCAACACCAGGGGTCACAAGGCACTAGTGGCAGACGCAACACCAGGGGTCACAAGGCACTAGTGGCAGACGCAACACCAGGGGTCACAAGGCACTAGTGGTGGGCATGCATGAACACATTAATAAGAATTAGCGTGAGCAGACCACAACAAATACACGTCACTTTCTCCATCACGAGACAGATCTCCGAGGGTGGCGAGGGTGGGGCCTGATCATCCCCCGTCTGCTGGTGCTGGTGGTGGTTGAGGTGGTGGTGGTTGAGGTGGTGGTGGTGGTTGAGGTGGTGGTGGCTGGGGAACTCCTTCGCCAGAACCTCGATGAATATTACATGAATGAAGATACCTAACAGAGGAGAATTATCTTAATAGTTTAAAGTACACTGGTATTATAACAAGTACATTAAACACTAACTATGGCCATATTTAACTTTAATGAAACCGATTTAAAACTAAAAATCAGATTTACACTTCATTCTTGCCTTCATATAATTTACCTTATATAAAGTATGCACAAAACTTAGAAACCACAGCTTTCAGATTTTAACTATTGGCCTACCTGTTGCAAAGGCTTCTAGCACCGCGGAGACAATTTCCCTGTTGTCAGAGGGAGCATTCTGGAGGCCGACCCCGGCCACGATGCCCAGCGGGATGGTGAAGGTGAACATCATAACGTATAGCACCTTACTCCACCCACTTAGTACCCGACTCTTGCTCACCTGGTAATGACACGCCATTTACCAGTCATCCTTACACACAACCTCGTTTTCTATATTACCAGAACTGTATTAATAAAATTGTTCAATGTTTATGTATATATAACGAGTCTTTAGAAACTCAATATTTATTACAATCTAAACAGACTACCGTTGGTAAACTACGCGCGTTCTCAAAGCAAAGTGTTATTAAACAAATTAAATGGCGTCTGCTCATTATTAATGATTATTTAATATAGACGCCGAGTGTAACAAGAGGTCATAAGTGCGATGAGGTGCCACAAGGGTCAGGACTTAATTGACCTCTACCAGAAACCTGTTATCTGAAAGATTGAGTTTCATATCCATGTCAAGAACCAGTTAGGGCAGAGGAAGACTAAGAATGCAAGTGCACCTCGACACTTAAATATACGAGAAATGGTTACTGGATTTAAAACAAAGCAGTTTTGAAAATATGAGCAGGAGCAAGATATTAAACGATAGAAGACTCACATCAGTAAGGAAATATCCGAATCTATACATCTCCGAGTGTGATGCCAGAGGCACCCAGCCTCCCTCCTCACCTCCAAGCCGAAGGTGAAGGCCATGACAGCCTCGTGCACCATGACTGCCACCGAGAACTCGAGCACCTTGTCCTTCTCCGTCTGGAGGCCAACAGCCATGCCTTCGAAGAGCGAGTGGATGCCCAAGGCCATGAGGAAGATCATCGAGGAAGGTACGCCGTGGCCAACTGCACAAACCCAAGATATCTTTAAATATAAATCTTGCAATATGCGCTAATGTAAATATACTTCCACAAATATTGTACACCAGGTTGGTAGCCGAACACTAGTGTAGACCATTGGTGGTGGTGGCCGGCACCGTGGGGCCTTCCTCCACTATACCAGAGTTGGTAAACGTCACAAGATATATTGTTTATAAAGCTTATTTTTCTAGCACCAAATTTAGGAGTGCGCTATAGAAACTTACTTTTATACTACAGACCCAGGATCTGCCACAATATATCTAGTCAATATTAATTTATCTCATCCCTCAATTTGTGTCAATCTAGCCGCTCTAGTCCCACCTGTTCAGCTACATCTATTTATCCACCATGGTATAGTTCTAACCTTTGTGACTGGGGAGGTGGTGGCTAGGGTGGTCTATGGCGGTACTGTCCAAGCTGAAGTGCTGATCTTCCAGAGTGTCGTCAGTGGGCTTGGTCAGCAGGGCGAGGCCGCCACTGCTGTAGCTGCGACTGTCCTCCATCGCGTGCACCTGTTGGCGAGCACAACAACGCCTCTGTTGAGAGTTGTCCAGGGCTCCATAACTACCATCAGCACCTGTTGACTATATACTTTGGCGGCGCCTAAAGGGGGTGTATGGAATGTAAACAAACTACAATACTGCGAGAACCTGTTAATTAGGATTCTGTTTTATCTTTACGAATTAGAGTTTGATGAATATGTATAGGACGAGGCCGAGGTAGAGACTTTAGGCAAGGAGAAATTAAATAAGGTCTAGTGGGCTAGGAAGCAAGAATCAAGGCGCTTCCAGAAAGGTCGAAGGTACTTTTCAAGAGAAGAGACTTGTGAAAATTTTTAAGAAGAAACATGTTTATATATAAAGACGAGAGATGTGGAACGCTTCACAGCAGCAACTGGGTCGAGGACAAAGTCCATAAACAAATCTTAAGTGTAAATAAATGCCATGATGCAACCCACAAAAGTTGCTCAACTTCTGGGTACCCATTTACTGTTTAAATCAAGACATCAAGTGAAAGGAAATTGATCCAACCATTTGTGTTCCGGCTGAGACTAGCCGAGATACCCAATTGCAAGTAGGAGCGTAGACCACTATGCTATAGGAGCCTGGGCTGTATTGAGAGTGTTCCAACACTTGGGTAAAGCATGTGTAGAAGGTGAGCTGCGGGTGTTTGGGAGGGGAACGAAGACGTGGATGAACCTACCAGCTTGTCGATGGTGAAGACCACGAGGAAGCCGCAGGTGACCACGAAGAAGCCCCAGGGAAACTCTGCGAACGCCTCCCAGTCCTCGTCTGCCCGATACAGCTCCTGAAGGAGACGAACTGGGGTTAGAGTACTCTCGGTACACACCTGTAGCAATAACAAGAGCGAGACAAAACACTAACGAACTGCCCGCCTCCAAGTGCTGGATGCCTCCACCAGATGCCAGCGTGAACACACCCCTCCCTCCGTGTTCCAAGCCTCACACAGGTGAAATAGTTGACCTTAATATCTTTAGATATAAATTCAAATAACCAAAAATTTAGGTACCCTTGCCGAGAACAGGACCAAGAATCTCCGAGCAGAACCCAGCGATCAACACCCAAGCCAGACGCGAGCGACGACCCTGTGACCCAAGCCACACCCCCGGTGCCAGACGCGAGCGACGACCCTGTGACCCGGTGCCACACACTAATACCAGCGATAACGCCGCCACTTGGGTGGCGTCAGTGGCAGAAAGATAGCGTACCTGGTATGACGAAGGGCCGGGGTTCGACGCATGTATCAAAGGGGGTCCGCGCGCCATATTCACACATATAGACGCCACACAAGATGTACAGAATGGAAACATTCGTTACACAAGATTCTACATCCTGGGAATAAAACCTAGAGTAAAATTTAGAGGTGCTGGGTGCAGGTTTAACAGCGTCATTAATGGACTCCGCAACTTGAAGGTGGAGTGGAAGTAGCAATGGAACTGCTACAATCCTTTCTTATCAGTAGGGCCATCAGTGTTATCACCAGTGACTACTCTGGACATGAAGGTGAGACTTGAAGACAATCCTGTACGATAAGACGCCCACGTGTATACCGACTAGACAATCTGTAGCTATCGTCCCCCCCACCCCCCCGCCCGTGTTCAACACTGCCGGAAGCACAAAGGGTAACCGTCTTTTTATATAAATTTAGACAGCTTGCGGATTACTGAAAAAGAGTAATTATGTACAACTCATTATACTCGAGGACGCGACTAATGCGATAATCAACCGTACCAATAATGGTAGTTTACAGTCTTAGAAATTGTAAATATTAACACTATAGGTGAAAATGTTATTGAAATTTGTCTTCCAAATTTCGTATAAAACATTTTGTTAGGACAATTAAGCATTTACATAATCACCATGCAAGATGCGCGATTGATTGCATCCTGCACCTGGTGTAGGTCTCCAGCTTCCTGCGTGTGCCTGCACACAGGTGTGTACTTACCTAGTTGTGCTTGCGGGGGTTGAGCTCTGGCTCTTTGGTCCCGCCTCTCTACTGGTGAACAGATTCCCGAGCTCTATCTTATCTACATTTGATACTGTGTATGGAGTGTTCCTCCACCACATCACTGCCTAATTCATTCCATTTACTAACTACTCTGACAATGAAAAAGTTCTTTCTAATGTCTGTGGCTCATTTAGGTACTCGGCTTCCACCTGTGTCCCTGTAACACGCATGGCCCCCCCCCCCCTAGAGTTCTCACCCAGGGAAGCCTTCTCCAAGAGGTCAGCCCAGATGACCTCCGGATTATCTTATGTTGATTAAAAAATTCCTGGGTTAGTCTTAGTCAGCTAGTTTCAAGTAGGTAATATTTCATAATACTCTTGTCAAACATTGCAATGGAATTAGACCCCAGACTCTTAGGTGTTAACATCCATGGATCTCCCCCCCCCTTTTAGCCCAGGTCAGAGGTCAGTCACACACGTAACTAATAATTCCTCTCAAACAGTGTATGGTAAATGTCAAACAAGTTTAATGAAAATTCTTGAGTGTTTGTACACGTGTCGCCGATCTTTTACATTCTTGGGGGAGGTAGCAACAGAAAGTCTCCCCCTCCTCCCTGTTGGGGTGTATATATTGGTCCTGTAGAGATTTAGGGACAGAGTGCAGGACACCGGGGTCCAGAGAGGGTCTGAAGAACATCTCACAGAGGGAGTGACAGCGTGAATCCACTGGATGGAGAGACAGAGGTCTTAAGGTAATGTGTGTGATCTCTGAGGTTTTGTTCCATGTCCAAATTTCTTTACTTTAGGCCAGTGTTAGAGTAGGATTTATAAGTGGTGATTAGCATAATTTTTGTCTCAATAAACTTAGGTTAAATTTCCCGTCTGTATCAATTGTTGAATCCTCTTAGCCTTTTGGATATAGTGGCTGACAACCGTCCCATAATTAATGACAGTCATAGAAAGTACTCTCCAAGTCAAGCAGTGTTTCTTGCCTCGTTGCTTGATATAATGGTGAAGGCAGAGGGTGGCAGCGTTATTTAGTCCTGTGTAGCATTTCCTTGTCGGCAGTGTACCTTTTGTGTCCGGTGTAACCATATGTCAGCTCATATTACAGTGTTCAATAACAGAGTTACCAACTGCAACCGATGGGAAGTGTTACTCAGGATACGTAGTAGTGTTTACATTATTAGTTTAGTATACATTATAGTGGTGTTACATCCCCTTGTTCGTGTACCACCCGTGTTAAATAATCCATTCTTGTCTACCCTGTCAATTCCTGTGAGAATTTTTGTATGTGGTGATCATGTCTTCCCCGGCTCTTCCATCTTCCAGCGACGTGAGGTGCAGTTCCCGCAGCCTTTCCTCGTAACTCGTGCCTCTTAGTTCTGGGACTAGCTTAGTGGCATACCTTGAACTTTTTCCCAGTTTCGTCTTTTGCTTGACAAGGTACGGGCTACATGCTGGGGCCGCATACTCCAGGATTGGTCTTGCATATGTGGTATACAAGGTTCTGAATGATTCCTTACACAGGTTCCTGAAGGCTGTTCTGATGTTAGCCAGCCTTGCATACGCCGATGTTATTCTTTTTATGTGGGCTTCATAAGACAGGTTTGGTGTGATATCAACTAGATATTTCTGTCCGTTTCGTGAAGGACTTCATCTCATTTGGTATCCAATGTCTGGCCTCCTATTTCCTCCCCCTAGTTTCATTACCTTACACTTACTTGGGTTGAACTTTAGTAGCCACTTGTTTGACTATTACTACTTTGTTTAGGTCATCTTGTAGCCTCATACTATCTTCCTCTGTTTTATTCCTCATAATTATTTGTATCAGCAAACAATGAGAGGAACGAGTCTATTCCCTCTGGGAGATCATTTACATATTTCGGGAACAGTATAGGTCCAAGAACTGATCCTTTAGGTACTCCACTGGTAACACCTCGCCAGTGACTTCTATTGCTTAAGTACTCCCTTATCCAGTGGAGTACCTTTCCTTTCACTCCTGTTTGCACCTCCAGTTTGTGCACTAGTTTCTTATGTGGTACCGTGTCAAAGGCTTTCTGGCAATCCAAAAATATGCCGTCTGCCCATCATCCTTCTGCCTGATTTTTGTTGCCTGGTCATAGAATTGAATCAATCTTGTGAGGCAAGATCTGCCATCCCTGAACCCATGTTGATGTGGTACAAAGTACTTCCGCTCCAGATGTTCCTTTTTTTTTTAGCACAATCTTCATCACATTACATGGTATGCAAGTTAGTGACACTGGCCTGTAGTTCAGTGCCTCTTGTCTGTCAATCTTCTTTAATATTAGGACTACATTAGCCGTCTTCCAGATTTTTGGCAGTTCACCTGTTACCAGTGATTTGTTATATACTATGGCGAGTGGCTGGCACAGTGCCTTCAGTATCCAAGGTGAGATTCCATCCGGGCCTTTGTCTCTTCCAACTCTAGCAGATGCTTCCTCACCGCCCCACTGGTAATCACAAACAACTAGTGGTGATTAGTTAGATACTGTATTCCCTCGCCAATCTCTGACTTTCCCTTGCTCTACTATGAAGACCTCTTTGATTTTCTTAAGAGTTCTTTACACACTTATTTGTAGTGAATTTGTCTGTTCCTATCCTGTTTCATTACTTGTTCCTTCACTGGTTTTTCCGCATGTGGCTGTGCAGCAATTTAGGTTGAGTCTTTGCCTTGCTCGCTATGTCATTTTCATATTTTCTTTCTGCCTCTACTCACCCTGACGTATCCATTCCTGGCGCTCTGATATCTTTCTCTGCTCATTTGCGTCCTATTATTTCTATAGTTTCCCCACGCACTTTCCCCTAGTTGCTTTGCTAGCCTAATATCTCTGATTAAACCACGGGTTTCTCATCTGCATTTCATTTTTCTCCTTTTGGACTAACTTGTCTACTGCCTCCTTACACTTCTGTGTGACAGTCCATCATGCCTTGGGCCGTCTTTCCTCCGAGCTCTGTTTCCCCAAGTTATATCTGTTTGGAATTGTCTTGACTCCTCATAGTTTCCCTTTCAGAATGCCAGCCTTTTGTTTTATGGTCCCTTCCTTGGGTACATTAATCCCTTCTTCGACCAGATACTCAAACATCAGTACACTGTGGTCGCTCGTTCCCACGGGGGCTTCGAAACCTATTTCCCTTACGTCGGAGTCATTCAGTGTGAAGACTAGGTTGAGTCTCGCTGGTTCATCGTTGCTTCTCATTCTCGTGGTTCCCTCGACATGCCGACTTGAAAAGTATGTCACCACTTTCAACAGTTCAGCTCTCCATGTTTTCTCCCCTCCACGTGATTCCTTGTTTTCCTAGTGTATCCTTCCATGATTGAAGCCCCCCCCCCCCCCATGATGAGCAGATGGGACCTATTTCTACAGGCAGCAGTAGCTTCTATCTTAATTATAGTGTTAACTGCCATGTTTGTCATACTCTTGCTTGGTCTTCTGTCGTTTGGTGGAGGGTTATATGTCACTGCTGCTACTATTGGTCCTCCCATCGTCATGGTGCCTGTAATGTAGTCTCTGAACCTCTCGCAGTCTGGTATAACCATCTCCTCGTAACTATTCCTTTCTTATCAGTAGGGCCACTCCACCTCCTCCCCTTTCTCCCTCCCTCTCCCTATTACGGTGTAGTCCTGGGGAAACACCGCATTTGTTACCATTCCCGAGTTTTGTTTCCGCGAGTCCCATTACATCCGGGTTCCCTTGTGCTCCAAGGTCACTAGCCTTGCTTTTAATCCCATCTGCGAGTGTGCCTGCAGGCGTGAAGATCAGAGGTACAAAGGAGCCATAGAAAATACTTTTGTAGATTTATATAGCGTTAAACAAGATGGTTCGTAGATGGAAAAATATTTTTTAAGGTAGTTAGAAAGAGTGATGAAGACAAACTGCAGTAAGAGGACAACAGTATAATCGAGAGCCACGTACGAGGCTGGAGGTGACGACACGGCCGCCCAGACACGGTCGTCAGTGTAGCCTACAGATAAGATATTACACCCGCTGACCACAGCACAGTTTATCAAACAAAATATCGTCCACGTGGACACTGCTGCTTCTCCCTAACACTGTAATCTTAGACAACCAGAGCGCTAGTAACTGGCCCTTGTTACCACTCCTAGGCCACACTGCTCTACAGTCATAAGAGTGGCGTGATCTCTTGTGTACATAAATACCTAACTTCCCCAGGTGGTGCACGTCAACTACCGCGGCTGGTTCCCGCAGCCAATCTTTAATAGCTAAACAACCCCCCCCCCCCTTTGTTTAGAATATGACTGGTAATAAACCTATATTTATATTAGTGCAGTCTTGTCACCGGAATTGTGCAGAGTGGCCACAAGGTGCCCCGAGTCACCATACCTGGGCACCAGTATGGCACGTCAACTGTAGCCAACGTCACAGCCAGACACACGAGTACACCTTCAAGTATGTGAGAACACAGACGAGCCATTGCTCACAACCATCACCACAACAATGGAACCAATATTGATTGTAGGACTGGATTTTATTCACAACTTCTCAAGCACAGACTTTCGACGTAATTAATAATAACTGCTTGACGTTATCATTTATGCAACAAAGTAAACCATCTTCCGTTGTCAAGTGACTACAGTTACACGAGGGTGGTGAGAGCAACACTCGCGGCCCCAGTGTTGCTCTCACCACCTCATTACTACCGCCACATTTTACAGAACATCGGGCCCAGCTTCATGACAGTTCCACACACTCTTGTGCCCGTGTTATCCACCACCACGGTAAAATCATTAAACAGTGTTAACAGAAGAATTACATATTTCAAACAAATGGGATCGACCAATCAATAGTTCAGCTCTTAGGCTGTTTAACTACAATACAAATTAAGTTAACACTATAGAGTGCGTCTTACCTCAAGAAAGCGGTGGAACTTGCGATCGGCAGCAGGCAGGAGCCCCATGAAGCAGACGAAGATGAAGACGCCGGCACCGAAGCAGGAGGCGCAGGAGAGGAGTCGTGACCTGAGGCCTGCGCGGGGCACCAGCCTTTTGGAGAGGGTCCCGCGCAGCAACACCGGCGCCAGACCCACGCACGTCGTCAACACGAAGATCATCCCGGTCACCAGGAACTGCATTTGTTTCACCTCCATCTTGAGGGTGAGGGAGGCTGTGCCCCTGGAGGCTCAGGTGACTAAGGTTCGATCAGGTTTATGGGTTATGCACCACCCCTCTAAACCATGTCCAAGTACCAGGTGGTACCTCAGCACAATACCTTCCAGTACCGGTGTTTAGCACTTGCTATCGCCTATGATATTCAAATGAACACAGATTCACAAATGTTATCATTCACGTCAGTAGTAGTGGGAAGGCTGCGGCCCTCCTGCTGGGGTGAGTACTAGGCTCCTACTGGTGTAGGGTGTGCTGCCTGTGTCCGCCAACCCTCGGGGCAGTAGTCAGGCCGCCGCGATAACGAGCCCGTCTGTCTGAACTAGCAGTAATGCTAACAATGCCCACCTGGTGTGAACGGACCTCGGTCATTACCACCCTGCCCCTCCACACCCCTCCCTGTATGTCATCACCCCAACCCCCCATCATCCCCACCCCACACCCCCACCATACACCCACAACCCTCCACCCTCAGCCATCACCTACCTGTTGCACCCCCTCACCTTTGTATCCAGGAAGATACTGATATATTGTGACGCTGTCATCACTCTCCCACACTGACGCGCTCTAGTGTCTGTAATGTATACTCCTGAATTCATCTTGGTGGCTTGTATTACCGTCAACCCGGTATTTATTGAACTCTCTGGAGATAGCTGCTTGCATGACGCAGCAATGGAACCTTGCCATTTTAGAACACTGGAACTTTGCAACATTTAACCTTTCTTGAGAGAAGATGGCGTTCATATTAACTCCATCACGCTGTGTTTCACACAGTCAATGTTTGTTGGCGACACCAGCACCCCCTGGTGTGCTAACCCCGAGCCCCACACCTGCAACCTTTGGTGTTTTAACCCCCCCCCTCCCCGCCCCCCCCCACACACCCACCCACACCAGCAACCTCTGGTGTGTTAACCCCCCTCCCCCGGCCCCCCCCACACACACACCAGCAACCTCTGGTGTGTTAACCCCCCTCCCCCGGCCCCCCCCCCACACACACACCAGCAACCTCTGGTGTGTTAACCCCCCTCCCCCGGCCCCCCCCCACACACACACCAGCAACCTCTGGTGTGTTAACCCCCCTCCCCCGGCCCCCCCCCCCACACACACACACCAGCAACCTCTGGTGTGTTAACCCCCCCTCCCCCGGCCCCCCCCCCCCACACACACCCACACCAGCAACCTCTGGTGTGCTCCCACCTCTGGCCCCAAACCACACACTCACCTTTCGACTCACTTAAGTTACGAAATCACCTCCCCGGCAAACTTTAGAGTAAGGCAGCCCTTGGGACGAGAGTCCTGGGACGAGAGTCCTGGGACAAGAGTCCTGGGACAAGAGTCCTGGGACAAGAGTCCTGGGACGAGAGCCCTGGGACGAGAGCCCTGAGACGAGAGCCCTGGGACGAGAGTCCTGGGACGAGAGTCCTGGGACGAGAGTCCTGGGACGAGAGCCCTGGGACGAGAGTCCTGGGACGAGAGCCCTGGGACGAGAGTCCTGGGACGAGAGCCCTGGGACGAGAGTCCTGGGACGAGAGCCCTGGGACGAGAGTCCTGGGACGAGAGTCCTGGGACGAGAGCCCTGGGAGAAGAGTCCTGGGACGAGAGTTCTGGGACGAGAGTCCTGGGACGAGAGTCCTGGGACGAGAGTCCTGGGACGAGAGCCCTGGGACGAGAGTCCTGGGACAAGAGTCCTGGGACAAGAGTCCTGGGACAAGAGTCCTAGGACGAGAGCCCTGGGACGAGAGCCCTGGGACGAGAGCCATGGGACAAGAGCCCTGGGACGAGAGCCCTGGGACAAGAGCCCTGGGAGGAGAGTCCTGGGACGAGAGTCCTGGGACGAGAGCCCTGGGACGAGAGCCCTGGGACGAGAGTCCTGGGATAAGAGTCCTGGGACAAGAGTCCTAGGACGAGAGCCCTGGGACGAGAGCCCTGGGACGAGAGCCCTGGGACGAGAGCCCTGGGACAAGAGCCCTGGGACGAGAGCCCTGGGACGAGAGCCCTGGGACGAGAGCCCTGGGACGGGAATCCTTAGGACTGGAGCCCTTAGGGCGAGTTGTGTCGTTGATGAGCAGGGACGCCCCCCCCCCCCCTCGAGTTCGTGTGTCTAGTGTTTGAGCCTAAGACAAGAGCGTGAATGTTATAGCGTGCTTAAAACCTAGGTCAACATTGACACATTTCCCGAGACATATATCAAGTTATATGTACCAGCAGCTGTGTGTGAGGGTGTGAATCACAACGCTCTACGCTTATCGATCCGCTGTTTGGATACAAGATAGCCCAACGGTTCTTAGCCTAATATATCGCATCCTTTGAAATTGGCTTGAAATCAGTTAAATGCTTTTACTACTGAAAATATAACTGTTTTATCTTACCCATTCTATCGTTATTTTATTCTAACCGAGCTTATATAAATGTAACCTATGCTATTCTGACCAAATATAACGCAGCCGAGCCTAATGCCGTGGCGGCAAGTAAGAAGGACAATGTGCAGGCGAGGAGTCACAATAACGTGGCTAAAGTATGTTGACCAGACCACACATTAGAAGGTGAAGGGACGACGACGTTTCGGTCCGTCCTGGACCATTCTCAAGTCGATTGGTTCAGGACGGACCGAAACGTCGTCGTCCCTTCACCTTCTAGTGTGTGTGGTCTGGTTAATCAAGGAGAATGTGGTTAATATTGACCGGGCGGTTGTTGTAGCAACCCGTCCTCTTAAAAATAACGTCACTTTTGGCTCGTATGCGCACTATGGCCAAATTTGGACGTAATTTGAAATGAAATCGACTCACAAAAGTGACGTACTGTTCCGTTTTCTGTTTGAGTCGTCCGGCTTACTCGGCCAGCTTAGAAGAGGATTCTTTCCATTAACGTTTTTCATACCGTTTTGAAACTTTATGAGAATTTCCTGCCCGCCTAACCTACCAGAGGACCCTTAACTTACTGTTGTTGAAAAAAAAATCCAAAATTTATATTCATATTTTTTTCATTTTCAAATTACGTCCATACTGGCAAACGGCCAAAAGCGACGTTGTTTTTAAGAGGACAGGAGTCGCATACACTGCAGACCTCAAGATAACCTCAAGACCCTGTATCTTGGCAACATGGAAGTGGGGAGAAAGGTGGACCTGGGAAACATGCGTTATTACCCAGGAGGCAGAGAATCCCGCTCTGTATATTCTATATACAGAGCGGGATATTAGATTATATTCACTCCAGGACATACACCAGCGAGGCGCATCACCAACGTCGCCAGATTTGTTGTGGTGGTGGGGGGGAGGGGGGAGGGCTACACCGGTGTGACCCCCGGCATAGTGCGGGCCCCTTACCCTTCTTAAGGTCCATGGTGTCGGGGGGGGGGGGGTGTAGCCCATCTCTTTTCTCATCGCGAATCATTGGGTTGGAAAACATCAATCAAAGGGGAGCCAAAGCTTCCTTTTATAAGAATAGATTTAAAGAAACAAAAGGAAATATGAAAAGTACATGGAAAGCCTTCTCTAACATCATAGGGTCTAAACAACAAACAAATAAAACTCTCCAAAGATGATTACACACTTAAATCAGATTTTGATATTGCAATTTAATTCAATAGCTTATTTTCACCAATTGGTGCTAACCTTGCCAGAAAAATCCCAGAGACCCAGACACATGTTACTGCCTATCTCACCGGCAGCTGTCCCAACTCTCTACTCCTTTGACCAGTCAGCCCGACGGACATTATATCAATAATTCAATCACTTAAAACCTAGGCTGGGAACATTAATGATATACCATCTATGGTATATGAGTGCTGCCCCTGCTCTTGCACTACCATAGATGGCTCTGCTATTCAACAAATCGCTAGTGTCATATTTTTCCTGATATACTTAAAAAAACAAGAGTGACGCCAGTTCATAAAGGAGGCGAGACAGCTGACATAAACAATTACAGATCAATATTAAATCTACCTATACTTTAAAAAATATTTACAAACAGCTGTATTCCTGCTTTATAAAACTCAGCATATTAAGTCCCTGCCAGTTGGCTTCCGTTCCCAAAAAGAGTACGAATAATGCCATTATTAGTCTGCTTAATATAATCTACTCAGCCCTTCACAAAAACGAGCTCAGTTGGCCTCTTCATTGATCTGAGAAGGGCCTTTGATACTGACCTGAGAAAGGCCTTAGATACTGTAAAATATAACTACATCTTTCTTAAACGTCACCACTATGGTATCCGAGGCCTTAATTGCTCTAGACTATATTCGTTCCTATCCCAGTGACACATACCAATATGTAGCCATCAGTAGCATAGCCTTCCCCAACTCTACCACTGACAATAGGGGTGCCACAGGCTTAGCTGCAGTTATCACTGTACAGTTGTTCGAAATAAGACAATATGGATACTGGGGTACTGGATACAGATGTACTGTTCCGTTTTCTGTTTTGCTGTGTGGGTGGCAGCATCCTATTTCTTATATACATCAATAATTTGCCAAATGTTTCTAACATTCTTAAACCTATACTATTTGCTGACGATACGACCTTCATCTATTCTGACCCCAACCCCCACACACTAAATGATATTGTCAACAATAAATTTAAAAAGTCCACTCATGGATGTCAACCAACAAACTTACACTGAACATAAAAAAAATCTACATTTTATTTGGAAGTAAATCATCAAATCCGATTCAACTTCAGATAGACAATGTTAAACATCACCAATAAAAATGAGGGGAAGTTCCTTGGCCTGTACATAGACAAGAGACTGAACTTCAACACCCACATATATGACAATACCAAAAAAATCTAAAAAATGGTCGGTAAATCTCTTAAATTATATATAATGTTCCCCACTCTGCTCTCCTCTCATTATACCACGCACTAATCTATCCCTATCTTACATTAGGTATCTGTGCATGGGGTTCAACCACAGGAAATTACCTCAAGCCTATAATCACTCGGCAAAAAAATCTGTTATCAGAACTATAACAAACTGTAGCTTCAGACAACACACAGCGTCTGTTTAAGTCCCTTAACATGCTAAACATACACTCACTCCACACATTCTCATGTGCTATTTACATGTACAAAACCTTGTTCCTAAATGCTAATTTTGACCTGAAACTTTTCCTTGATGCGTGTAAAAGAACCCATGAGCACCACACCAGAAATAAATATTACTTTGATATCCCCCAGAGTCAGGCTAAATCTGTACAAACACTCCATGCAAATAAAAGAGACTAGTCTTTGGCACTCATTCCCTGACGAACTAAAAAATGTTCCAACCTATACTTTGTTCAAAAGTAAAAGCCAAAAGTACTTAACTAGTCACCGCAATTTAGTCTCCGTGGTGTAGTGGTAAGACACTCGCCT